GGTTTGCAGACGTTTCATTACCCGACTAGGTAACATCATCAGTGCTGATGAGTGTGAGGTTTGCTCCCTGTTTATATACAGAAGCTTGCCCTGCCAGTGTTGATGGGGGGTGGTTTTCTCCTTGATAGTTCCTTGATTAGGGTATTGTTTTCTGCTTTTTTGTCTGGTGTTAATCCCTGCTTATCTGGGTGCTGGCTGTTGGAGAGGCTGTGTTCTGGTCTTTTGTTTCCTTCTTAGCTTTTTTATTTTTTAGTCTTACCTCTTTTGAATGGTGTGTAAATGTGGTTTATCTCTATGTGTCTGATACTGTTACAGTAGTCCTTTAACAAGGTTTTTCTGATCTGGGGAGATTGGGGTCTTTTAACTTGTGGATTTCATGTGTTTATCAGGAATTGATATCAGGAATTGCCCTCTGTCACTCTTTGTGTACTTAGGGTGAAGAGAGTGTGTCCTATGTAGGGTGCACTTCATTTTCTTACAAGTAGAATGCCTGGAGTTTGCCTCCAGTGGCATTAATTGCAATGAGCTTTTTTTTTTTTTGAATAAATGTGTATTTTCAAAAAAAGTTAAAATACAGAAAAATCAAGAAATGGGGGGGGGAAAGGGCATAGAAAAGAAAGAGTAGCTTCCGACTTTCCTTGGTATAGGTATAAATGTAAAATAAATATATATATATCGCCTCTTACTCTAATATCTAAAAGTTTACATAATAAAAATAGTTTTTAATCTAATATTCGAGAAAGTCCTAAAATCAATCTATTTCAATAATACATATGATTTGTACAAGATATTTCTATAAGTATAACATCAATCATCAAATCCTAATCTAGCATTTAGAAGCATGGTGCAAATGCATGCAAAAGGATGAAGGATGAATAGGAATAGGAAAACAGCTTAAGGTTGTTGGTCATTTCAATATTAACCTCTTAATTAAGAAGCTTGAGTTCCAGTTAACAGAATACATTCAATTGTCTCAGAACAAATAATGAGGAAATACATATTGGCATTAGTATCTTCTATTGTAGTCACACCAGCACTCAGTATTTGGTAAAGCAGTATAGTCAAGAGTTAAACAAGGTAAGAAATGAATATTAAAGAATGCCACAGTACTCTCCATGGAGATAGGCATTAACTGTTCTTGTATGTATAGCATTCCGCTTAACACAGAGCAATTCTTACTGTAGCCATAGCAATGTGAGAGGTGCACAACCCATTGGTCTTAAAAAGCTGTAAGGAGAAACAAAATCCTATTTCTATAGCACAGATTGGCTTTGCAGACCCCAAAATACAATTATTAAATCCTCACGATGGGGAAGCACTTCATTCTTTTCTACTTCAGGGAAAATGAATTAGGTTTTATTTTAGGATTACTTTCCAAAGAGTGGGACATTAGTCTATAAATATTTTTTTTAAAGATGCATGGCATCAATGAATTATTGGCAGAGAGTTGAATCAGGGCATAACTATGAAGCAAAGTATTCTTTAGAACATTGGTTCTCAATGGGGGCGGTACCGCCCCCCGGGGGGCGATGGGAGGATGCTGAGGGGCGGTGAACTTGTTTTGGGCAGTAGGGGGGTGGTGGGCATGTTT